ATAATTATAACATCCTATTGATTCTGTCTCTCTGGAGAACCATGACTAATACAGGAGGCTTCTGTGGATTATTTTATAACAGTATAAAATAGATACTAGTTAACCCCATTGACAGATAGGAAAACTGAGGCTCAGAGATATTAAATAAATTGCCTCAAGGTTATAATGCTAAGGGACAGAGCTTGGATTTGAACTCATATACTTTGAGTCCAGATCCTATGCTCTGAATTCCATACTATATTGCCTTTTATAAATAAATCTTGTATCAATGAAATGCAGCTACATATTCCTATGACTTTCTATGCATTTTTCTGTATATAAAAGTATCTGGGGGGCCGGCCCGTGGCTCACTCGGTGGAGTGCGGTGCTGATAACACCAAGGCCCTGGGTTTGGATCCCACATAGGGATGGCCGGTTCGCTCACTGGCTGAGCGTGGTGCTGACAACACCAAGTCAAGGGTTAAGATCCCCTTACCGGTCATCTTTAAAAAAAAAAAAAGTATCTGGGAATGTGTGTGTGTGTGTGTGTGTGTGCATGTGTATTCTGAAATTCAGTGGTGCTTAAGGAGCTATGTCTACCCATAAGTAAATAAGTATTAACTATCTATTATGGGTCCCCGCCTCCGGCTCATCAGCCCTGGAGTGGATGATTAAGGAGTTGTCAGTCGTGTGGCACTTGGAGCAGAGAGCCATGAATCTGCTCAGAGATGCTCTGTTCTGTCCCCTCCCCATCTGCCCCTTCAACTCCAGTTCTACCCCCTCCCATACCCCAAATCTTCTAGACACATGTTATGTCTCTTTCTTCATATTAAAGTTTCTGATTCACGTTAGAGTAACCGCATGTGTTACCTTACAACTGGCAATCTTCCTAATCACAAATGTGGTGGATGTGAGGCAGAAATAAAATAGGGGCACATCCCAGGGAGGCTGCTCGTAAATATTCAGACTGGATCGTCCAGGACCTGTGCGCTAGGGGGGACAGGAGGGGATAGGTGGAGGCCATTGGGAGTTTGCACGTGGGATGGAGAGGATGGACAAGGTCGGTGGTGTGTGTGTCTCTCTCTGGCAGAGATGCTTGTGCACTTTGGCACGTACTTTCACCTGGTAATAAAGCTCTATCACGTTCCATTTCTCTGTCTCCCTCTTCTTTTCCCCTTGCCGGTCCATGAAAGACTCTTCTTTCATGAACCAAGAACCTGGATATGCTGCCCGGTAAGGGGTGCATACATTATCTTCGTTTCCCCTAGTTATTCCTCTTATTCTCTCACTGGTGAATGTCTTATCTTCGGAAGTGTTAAGTTTCTGCACTAGACCCCAAAAGACCAGATTAAAAATCAAAATGGAGTGATTTCTAAGTTTTACATCACTTAGATTGTGGTTTGACCTTCCGAGGAATCAGGAGAAAGAGATAACAGCCAGTTTCCCAAACAGGCCAGTTTAAATCGTTAATAGGTGTGATAATGAAGTTCCTTCTGCTTTAATCCTTACACAGAAGAGATAACCTGAAGTAACCTGATGCTAACTAATCCGTTATTTTTCTATTGTTCTGTCTCCCTGTCCCCACCTTGCAAGGAAAGTAACTTTGAAATAACCAATCTGCTTTTTCTTCTTTGTTTCTGCTTTCTTTAGCCTTTTTCTGTTTATAAAATTGACCTCTGCTTGGCTCATTGGAACACTTATTCTTTTTTTTTTTTTTAATGGGCTGGTGGAATGGGGATTGGAACCCTTGACCTTGGTGTTATCAGCCCCACAGTCTACTGATTGAGCTAACAGGCCTCACCGGAACACTTACCAGCCTCATTGGAACACTTTATTTTATGAAATAATGTGTTGCCCAGTTCTAGAATTGCAATGAAGCTAAATGAGGTGTTTAACTAAATTTGTTGTAGTTTTGCTCTTTGACAGAAGTTATGACTCTTTGTGGGAAATGACACTTGACTACTCTTGAATGTCTCCCATCCACATCATTTAATATGACTGGGCACCTAATAGGTACTTAATAATACTTATTTACTTATTGGTAGACATAGCTCCTTAAGCACCACTGAATTTCAGAATACACACGTGCACACACACACACACACACACACACACACATTCCTAGATACTTTTATATACAGAAAAACGCATAGAAAGTCATGGGAATTTGTAGCTGCATTTCATTGATACAAGATATATTTATAAAAGGCAATATAGTATGGAATTCAGAGCATAGGATCTGAACTCAAAGTATATGAGTTCAAATCCAAGCTCTGTCCCTTAGCATTATAACCTTGAGGCAATTTATTTAATATCTCTGAGCCTCAGTTTTCCTATCTGTCAATGGGGTTAACTAGTATCTATTTTATACTGTTGTGAGGATTATATTAGAAAACGAATGTACTATAAAACACTTAGAGTTCCTGGCACATGGTTAAGTGTTCATTAGCTATTATTTTGTATCCATTTACATCTCCATACCCTCTGATACACACATACATGTACATCTCTTCTCAGAAAGTCATTTATTTATTTGACAAGCATTAGCTGAACACCCACACATACTATACACTGTTCTGGGAATATAGAGCTGAACGAGACATGGTCTTTTTCCTAATGGATTTCACAGTCTAGGGAGGAAGACTGCAGAGACTGAAGACTGCAGACTTCACAGTGCAGTGTGATAAGTGCTACAGCAGAGTCGAGCACCACGGGTATGTGAGCAGGTAGGAGGTGCAAAGTACGGATATGTTTCTAAGAAGAGGTATTCCTTGAGCTGAGTCTTGAAGGTTTAGTAGAAGTTAGACAAATGATCAAATCCAAGGAAAGGGTGTTCCAGGAAAGGGGCAATGTGTTCAAAGGCATGGAGATGGGAGAGTTATTCAAGGAATTATGGTAATGTTTTACACATAGGGAGAGGTGGGAGAGTGGTGGTCAATGCAGCTGGGCTGACAGGTCTTGGCTAAACCACAAAGACTCTGCATGCAAGGTAATGAGTGTGGACTTTACCCTGTAATTGATAGGAAGCTATTGAAATGAATAAGCAGGGGGATGACTGCAGATTTGGGTTTGAGAACAATCCTGAAGGCCCAGTCTGGATAATTAATTGGAAGGAGACAAAACTAGGAGAATAGCCCAAAGATAAATAAAATCATAACCAATGAAGTGACAATGGAGATATAGAGTAGGATGTGAATTGGGGAACTGTTCCTTGAGGAAAAAATCTACAAGGATTTAGCAGTCATTTGGGTGTAGGGGACAAGGGGACAGATGAGGAAGAGGGAAGAATGAAGGTATATATGCAGTTTTTGGCTTGGGTGGCTGGGAGTGGCAGTGCCCCTTGCAAGGAGTATTGTTTGGGGACAGAGAGATGGTGAGTAGTTTTGTCATGTTGAGTTAGAGGTGCCTGTGGAAGGTAGAGCACGAACCTGGTTGTACATCAGAATTACCTGAGGAGCTTGCTAAATGCAGATTCTCAGACTACCTTTAGAGATCCAGATTCAGTAAATTGGAGGTGAGGCCCAAGAATGTGCATTTTAAAAAGTGTCCCAGGTGGTAGCCAGTCCATAGCTGTATGGGGGAGATATAACACACAGAATAGGAAATATAGATTTGGGAGTCTCTGCATATATTTGGTTGAAGCCAAGATTATGAATGAGGTCACGTAGAGACAATGTGCAAAGAAAGAAGAGGAAGGGGCCAAGAACACAGTCTCATATCATTGCTCCAAGGGCGATTTTCCTCTGCATTAGGAAAAACAAGGGAAGTGGGCAATTAAAGTGAACTGTGGGTTTGTGACACCAGTGTGAACTCTTGGTTCCAGTGGTTCATTTCTCTTCTGTCCTTCATTCTTCATGCTGCTATCAGAGTTAGCTTTCAAAAGCACAGACCTCATGATGCCATTTCTTTGCTCCTAAACTTTAGACAATTTCTCGTTTGTGTAAAATGATGTTCCAACTCTCTGGGCAATCTAGTCTCAACTCGCATTTTCAGACCCAGCTGCCATCACCCTCCTCATCAACTCCATGTGCTCACCACTATGACCATGGCCTTCCCAACAAATCACACATTCTCATGTCTGTATGCTTCCCTTTCTTCTTAAAATGTCCTGCTTCAGCTTTGCTTCTCTGCCTGGCAAATTCATACCAAGCTTTGCAGAGTTCATTCATACAAGAGCACTCAAATTCCAGTAGCATTTCTACACACGCCACTGTTTATTCTGATACTCAGCATTAAATGTTAAACTACAGTGAGGAAAGATAATCTTCTTATAAGCATAAACTTTACCATGTTTTAAAAGAAACCAATTTCAATACTCATGGCCAAATTCATTTATCTGTATTATTTATTTATTTATTTTGGCTGCTGGCTGGTCCAGGGATCGAACTCTTGAGCTTGGTGTTATCAACACCATGCCGATCATCATGAATTCAGCATGCATGAATTCATGGTCAAGTTTAAGTATTCCCTTTTCTGAGTTTTCATGTTGAGTTAGAGAGACAGTGTGTACAGTTCTAAGACAGAATTGACCCCTAACTTGATTGTTTTACAGTTACTAGTTAAAGAGTCTGCCTCCTCTATTAGATTTTTTAATCCGTAGGTAGCAGAGACACTGCTCTCTTCACGTTTGAAGCTTCTATAGCCCAGTGCTTAGGGCACAGCTGGTATTCACTGAGTGTTTGTTAGAGTGAACCAAGAATTCTCAAATATAAACTTAAAAAAAATCACAAGCAAGCCACGAACTCACAAATCTCATGTGCCATGTAATCACGTGATTAGTAATCGGCATTCCACTGAACTTCAGTAAAGGAAGCAGAAAGAGCTCATTCTCTAATCCAAATTAATTTTTAGACATAAACTGATATACTGTGATCTTTAATTCAATATCCATTCAGGTATACAGTAGACCCTAGAGGGTGCTTTAATTATTACAAAACATAAATCAATGAGATCCACTCAAAATTAATTACAGATTATGGTTTAGGCAAGTGTTAAAAAAAGAGAGAGAGAGATAAGCTTACCGAGTTAGGGTCCGCGTAGGTACCAAGCCCGATGATGGGAATGCTATTTCCATCACTTAGAGGTATGCGGTGATTCGCAGCACTGAGGTACATCTTGGAGAGAGAGTCTGATGTTTCAGTTTTCTAGCAATGATTCTGAACACCACAGGGAGAGTCTTTTTGAAAAGATGTCCTAGGGCCTATTTAATCAAAGAGAGGAGGGAGGAGCAGAAGGAGGGAAGAGAGAGTAACAGAAAATTTCTCAATCTGTTTTTTTTTTCCAGATTTTCCAGGAAATACATGGTTGTCCTTTGAACTTTATCAGAAGCATGTAAATAACATAAGCCATTGAGAGCTTATGCTTACATCTTTGCAAAGAAAAAATTGAGAAAAGAAAAAGAAACATGGCTGGCTGATGAGCTCAGTTGTTTGGAATGCGGTGTTGATAATACCAAGGTCAAGGATTTGGATCCCCTTATCCAACGGCTACCAAAAAAAGTTTGTAACAAATGACTATTCAGAATGAATATACCATTTTGCATCTCCACGAGCAAAGCATGTGAGTTGCAGTTGCTGACTTTGGTGCATAACACTATGCTGTAACCCACTGAGCTAACTGGACACCCCAGTTTATTTATTTATTTATTTTTACTGCTGAGTAGTATTCCATTACATATATGCAGCACAGTTTGTTTCTTTATTCCCTCACTGAAGGTCATTTGGTTTGTTTCCAGTTTTTGATGATTGTGAACAGGGCTGGAGTAAACATTTGTGTAATTTGTATGAACATTAAGTTTTCATTTCCGTAGGGTAAATATCCAGGAGTGGGATTGTCAAGTCATGTGATAAGTATATGTTTAATTTTGTAAGAAGCCTGGCTGGTTAGCTAAATTGGGGGTGTGTGGAGCTGATAATACTGGAGTCAACGGTTCAGATCTCCAAACCAGCCAGCTGCCAAAAAAAAAAAATTTTGTAACAAACTTCTATTCAGAATGAATATGCCATTTTGTACCTCCACTAGCAGCTCATGTGAGTTGCAATTGTTCTGCATCCTTGATAGCAGTTAGTGTTGTCGGTGTTTTCTATTTCAGCTATTCTGATAGATTTATTGTAGTATCTCATTGTTATCTTAATTTGCATTTACATGTGGCTAATGATGTTGAACACATTTTCATTTACTTACTTGCTATATGTCCTCTTGGTAAAGTGCCTGTTAAGTCTTTTGCCCATTTTTAAAGTTTAATTATTTGTCTTAGTGTTGAGTTTTAAGATTTCTTGGTTAATTCTTGACACATTAGTTACTGAATATGTGGTTTGCAATTTTTTTCTCAGTTTGTAGCTTATCTTTTCATTCTCTTAACTGTGTCTTTTGCAGAGCAAAATATTTTATTTTATTTTATTTTTTTGGTGCCTGGCTGGTAAGGGGATCTGAACCCTTGACTTTGGTTTTATAACACTGCACTCTAACCAACTGAGCTAACTGACCAGTCCAAAATATTTTAATTTTGATAATGTCCAATTTATCACTTTTTTTGTGTGTTGTGCTTTGAGTGTTATGTCAAACTTTTTGTCTGAATCCAGGTCACAAAAATTTCACTCTATGTTTTTTCCTAAAAGTTCTATGGTTTCATGTTTTCCATTTAGATCTATAATCCATTTTGAATAAATTTTTTATAATTGGCAGATTTAGGTAGAGGTGTTTTGTTTTGTTTTGCATAGGATGTCCTATTGTTCCAATTACGTTGGTTTTAAAAACTGTGCATTCTCCACTTAATTGCTTTTGAACCATCATTAAAAATCAAAGACCAAGGCTGGACAGTTAGCTCAGTTGGTGTTGGGAAAATAGAATAGTTTGGTCAGGGCCCTCACCTCGGGTCTGGTTGGGTGTGGTTCAGCATCCTTTGTAAGCAAATTGTGTGTGTGTGTGTGTGTGTGTGTGTGTGTGTGTGGAGTTAGTGCACATGTGTGCCAATGTATCTTTTTAGTTTTGTTGCTATTTTTGAGAGAGTGAGAGAGAGAGAGAAGTTTAAGTGAAGTAGGTGGGTGGGCATCAGCCTCGGGAGTCCACCCCACACAGCTATGCTTTCCAACCTATGGCTCCAGGGACCTTGGCCAGTTACCTAGGTCATAGACCTGTGTGAAGGGGGTCTGGTTACCCAGCCTGGCCTGTGAAGGGTTTGCGACCCAGTCTGTGAATGGGCTTGAGGGGTCTGTGGGCTCCAGACCCAGCCTTAGCTCAACAATCGGCCCAGTTGGTGCAGGATCACCAGCAGGTAAAAGAGCACTACAACTGGCATAGTCGTGGTTGAGGAGCTAGACAATAGGCATCACAAACAGGATTAAGAGCTAGACGATTGGCACTGTAAACAGGATTCCAGGCCTTAGCCTGGCATGACAATTGGCATAGTTGGGCAGGATTACACCACAGTTGGTTAGGGCACGATGTTGTAACTCCAAGGTCAAGGGCTTGGGTCCCCTTATGGCCAGCCACCAAACCGAACCAAACCAAACAAAAAAACAAAGACTATATTTGGGTGGATCTATTTTTGAACTTTTTATTCTGTTTCATCAATCTATGTGTTTCTCCCCTCACTGATGCCACACTGTCTTGATTATTGTAGCTTTATAATAAACCTTAGAGTCATATAGAGATGGTCCTCGACTTATGGTGGTTTGACTTAAGAATTTTTCAACTTGATGGTGCAGATGTAATGTGCATTCAGTAGAAGCCATACTTTGAATTTTGATCTTTTACTGGGCTAGCAATAGGCAATGGGACACTCAATTGCAATGGTGGGCAGCAGCAGCAAGCCCAGCTCTCAGTCAGCTATGTGAGCATGAGGGTAAACAACCAATACTTCACAGTGTACTGTGTTGCCAGATGATTTTGCCCAACTGTAGGCTAATGTAAGTATTCCGAGCATGTTTAAGGTAGGCTAGGCTAAACTATCATGTTCCATGGGTTAGGTGTATTAAATGCATTGTCAACTTAAGATGGATTTATCAGGACTTGACGACATTAGAAGTTGAGGAGCATCTATAGTGTAATTCCTCCAACTTTATTTTTCTTTTCCAAATGTGTTTTGACTATTTTTGATCCTTTACTTTCCATATATGTTTTATGTATGTATGTACTTAAAAGATGAGTGGTAAGGGGATCTTTTAACCTTTGACTTGGTGCTGTCAGCACAACACTCTCCCAAGTGAGCTAACCGGCCATCCCTACATAGGGATCCGAACCCGTGGCCTTGGTGTTATCAGCACCTCACTCTCCCAAGTGAGCTAACCGGCCATCCCTACATAGGGATCCGAACCCGTGGCCTTGGTGTTATCAGCACCTCACTCTCCCAAGTGAGCCACGGGCTGGCCCTTCCATATATGTTTTAGAATCACCTTGTCTGTCTTCAAAAATCCTGCTGGATTTTTTCTGTATATTTTAAAATCTTTTCCCAAATGTCTTCGCTTGGGCTGCTATTAACAAAATACATCATAGACTGGATAGCTTAAACAACAGCCATCTATTTCTCACAGTTCTGGAGGCTGGCAAGTACAAGATCAAGGTGCCAGCCAATTCAGATCCTGGTGAGGGCTCTCTTCGTGGCTTGCAGATGGCCATTTTTCCTGCTGTGTCCTCACATGGTGGTGGTGGTGGTGGGGATAGGGAGAGAGAGGAGAAGCAAGCTGTCTGGTCTCTTCTTATAAAGACACTAAGCCCATCATGAGGATCCAACCCTTCTGACCTCATCGAAACCTAATTACCACCCAAAATCCTCATCTCTAAATACCATCATATTGGGGGTTAGGGCTTCAACATACGGAATTTGTGGGAACGCATTTTTTCTATAGAATTGGGGTTACCTTGGGAATTACAATTAGCATCTTAACTTTGTAACAATGAAGTTTGAATTACTACAAACCTAGTTTCAATAGTTTACCAAACTCAGATCCTTTAATACTCCATCACCCTATCTCTTAATGTTATTACTGTTACAAATTGCATCTTTATACATTGTGGGTATATTAACATAATTTTTTTGGGGGGGGCTGGCTGGTCCAGGCATTAACATAAATTCATAATTGATGTCTTATTTGCTTGTCTTTTAAATCATAGAGGAAGATCCCTGGATCATCCAGCCACAAAAATCAATCAATCAATCATGTAGGAAAAAAATAGAAGTTACAAACCAAAATGCAATAGTACTGGTTTTTTAATTTATCTATGTAGCTACCTCTGCTGTTCTTTTTTATTTCTTCATGTGGCTTCAAATATCCTTTCATTTCAGCCTTTGGCCCTGCTTATAATTTGATTTCCAACTTTGGCTTCCAGAACTAAAAGGGAATACACTTCTTTTGTTTTAACCTATCTAGTGTGTGGTAATTTCTTATGGCAGCCCTTGAAAATAACTACAATGGGTAATATTATTAGCCATTTTTTTTTTTTTTGGGATCCGAACCCGTGGCCTTGGTGTTATCAGCACCGCACTCTCCCGAGTGAGCCACGGGCTGGCCTTTAGCCATGTTTCATAGAAAGGGTCTTGAGGTCCAGAGAAGTTACTTGTCAAAAATTGCTCAACAGGTTGGCTGTTAGCTCACTTGGTTAGAGCATGGAGCTGATAGCACCAAGGTCAAGGGTTCAGATTTTCTTACTGGCCAGCCACCCTCCCCCCAAATTAAATTAAAAAAAATTGCTCAGGAATTGGCAGAACTGTTAGGCTGTCTGACTCCAGAGCCCATGTTTTTAGCCACTGCACCCCTAATAGAACTATAACAGAGTTGATAAATCAATCATCCACAACAAATCTTTTAAAGAGATTGAAAAAATTGCTAATTCTTTTTTTTTTTTTTTTTTAAAGATGACCGGTAAGAGGATCTTAACCCTTGGCTTGGTGTTGTCAGCACCATGCTCACCCAGTGAGCTAACCAGCCATCCCTATATGGGATCCGAACCCGTGGCCTTGGTGTTATCAGCACCACACTCTCCCGAGTGAGCCACGGGCCGCCCCCCCCCAAAAAAAATTGCTAATTCTAACATTCATAATTAAATAAAAATAAATTGAGACCTCCATATATATAATGTGCTCACAATTTCAACTAGATACTCTTGTTGCTGTA